TCCATGCTTTATCTTTAAAAAGCTAATTTTAATCTCGTGTCCCTGGTCTATGATAGGATGCACAACACTTGGTTATTCATTCATGCATAATCAAATTCGACCCCTTGATTTTGAATGGAATCACATCTAAGAATTGCGATTAATTTTTGTTTTTTTACCTTTTTAATTGCATTTATCTTCAATATGTTAATTTGACATTTAAATGTTTTACAAAAATAGGTGAAGTGTGGTAGTTTGGATTTAATGTGAGAGGAGGAAGGTGAAAGACCATGAACAAGATGAAAAACATATGCAGGAAATTAAACAACAAGAGATATTTTTTATAAAACAAATTGACATTCAATTCAATGAGGATAGATTGATAATAACACAATAAATTTAATTGGTAAAATTCACAATCGAACAAGATATTTTCAATTATTTTCATTTATTTATATTTCTCGACTATTTATATTTTACAAATGACTCATTTTGGTTCCACGTCAACCTAAACAAACCTATAATCAAACCAAATATCTAGATAAGACACATATCAAGCTTGAAATGATGGAATAATTCAGAATCCCAATGATTATAACCTGTGAATAATAATAGTACTATTCCATTTTAATTGGATGATCTTATAAATCGTACAATATTAACTTTTAGCAAAAGAAAGTGCCAAAGGATATATGTCCGCCAATCTGATAAGTTTAATCTTTTTTTGTGCGGCCTTATTCGCTGGCTAGTAATATAGATCAAGGCTACGGCTTGAATTAATATAACCATCCTTTTCTACATATGGTGAAGGCAATTGGCTATTAGTTCAATAAATTATTGACACTTTTTCCCTACAATTGGCTAGTTAGAGCAAGCAATGCTTAAGAACTCGGAATTAATTTTCACGTACATTAAAAATTCCCTTTTGTAGGCTTCCTTCGGTGAGCACTATGCCACTATCATATAGATAATTAGGTACATCATTTTCCTATCAACTTCCAACGTCACAACCAATGAAAGAAGGGAACATAACTTAATCTTACGTCGCAACCTACAATATTTTATTATGCAAGGCCCAGCTATTTTAGTGATTGGTGTAGATTTGTATGTGGGTTATTAGTTATTTGTGGACAAATCTCCTCCGTAAATTTGACATATTTTTCCTATAAAGGCGACAACAATTAATTTTATTGTTACATTCTACTTATGAAATTTGAATACGAGACGTATAGACTAAAAATCAATAACAAAATCACTAGTCCTAGTCTTAGTTCGCATGAGTTTAATTGTAGGAAGGATAAAAGCCAACGATAGAACCGCTTGACCCGCAGTATTGTTACATACTATTTAAGAGCCTGGATGAATTTAACATATTTTGAGACACTCGAAACTAAAAATAGCAAATTTTGCACTCTGTTTACTGTATGGTAGCTCGATATTATTCTTGTTCTTCTCATTTCTCTGAATATTCTGAATTCGAAACATTTCGGGAAAGATGTTAAGCAGTAACATTCAAATGATTAGAAAAGAGCACGTTAAGCAATATCACACTTCTATATTGTTGGCTAGCTCAAACGATGATGAGGCTCCATTTCCTTATTACACCTTGAATTTGTTTTACAATGAGGGCATGGACCAGTTGGAAATTTGGTTGAAGTAAGTTTATAGTTCAAATGGGTTTGAATCATAATCAACTAACCAATTGAAATTGCATGGGACAACATGTTGCATGACAATTAGGGGCGGCGGCAGGATTCGAGTCTCGAGAGGCCAGACTATTAGACTTATTTAGTGTACCATCACAACAAATAAAAATAGTGTTTTTATTATTATAATTGTTAAACGAATTAGAACTCAAATTAGGGATTTCGAACAAAGCAGAAGGAGCATAGAGGAAAGGGAAAGCGATGAGTGAGAGCCCTTGCTCTGATGCTCAACTTAAACAATGATCAAGAATAATAAATGGCCTGAGAATGAAAAGGCAAAAAAAAAAAAAAAACTAACAGCAAATAAATGAAAGAAAATGAAATGGGCTTTCTCTACTTAAGCCCAAACAAAGTCCCAACACAAGAGAGAGCCACAACTTCTCTTCTTCTTCCTTCAACGAGAAAAGTTGCAGAACAGAAACCCAGAAAACAGAGACAGACAAGCAAGCCGAAAGCGGAAGTATAAGACAAAACGGAAAGGATAAGGAACACACGATTTAACGAGGTTCCCAAACTACTGGTCACTCCTCGTCTCGGAAATAGCACTTGCTACTTTCCGAGAGACTCTTTTTTTATTAAGATTTTTTCTATCAAGCAACCGATAAAAGAAGCAAAGAACAGAAGCAAGTATCAATGATAAGAAGCAACCCGGATCCCTGAACCCAGACCCGTGACACCCTCAACGCAGTAAAACCTATTCCTCTACTGGAGCCGAGCCCCTTTGTAATCCCAAGCCCTTTACCACTCCCGATTACAAGGTTGCCGATGAAGCGAGAAGTCGACTCCCTTTTATAGCTTTCGAAGTAGCCGTTGTTGACAAGATAAGGAAGGTACTATTGACTTGTAGAGCTTCCTTTGTTTTGCTCCTTGATTTCGGCAATGGTAAGGAAATACAAATATGATTTCATTGATTTAGAATTCGTGATTCTGATTTCCATAATCGTCCAACAATCTCCCCCTAAATCAGAGATTGCGAATTGAAAGTTACCTGCACAAGATAACACATCCTTTTCCCAAAACTGGAATTAAGAAAATGAAAGCTGGAGTAGGTAATCATAACGCAGTGACAAACCTTGAGCACCATTCAAGGGAGACAAACTAATATTATTCAGAAAGATCCAACTTAATCTACCTCTAAGATCAAGCAATGTCCCTCATAACAATTAAAACTCAACAGGAGAGATACCCATAAATTTCCGCCTAAGCTCAGGCTAAGAGCTAACCACAACAATTTCACAGCAGCTCTCTTCATAAAATATCTATAAACTAAGAGATAAAGCAAATCAAAAGAATAATAAATCTCCCCCTAAGTAGAGCAGCTATTAGCCAAACGAGATGCATCAAAGGTATATAAAAAAAATGATAGCCAATTGAGCTGAAGATCACAAATTCTTATGATACTTTCTACAAGAGATGCAATATTATTTAGAGTAGAAAGCTCAAGGCAACAGCGCAACATGATTAGGAAACAAAACAACATGATCAATAACCTATATTCTCCCCCTCAATTTGCAATCATGTATATAGGACCTAGGAAGCTCACTAGAAGTACTATAACACAATATGCAGAATACTCAACACAGTGGAGTTGTTCGAGCTCCTTAGATAAGGCCGAACTCAAGCCAAAAGATAATTACAGCAAGAGGGGCTGAAAGGACCTAAGAACAGAAGCACAAAAATTATGAATCAAGTCAAGGGTAGAAAGGCCAACCAAAACGGAAAAAGGAACATTATCAGCAGAGATAAAAACCCAGTCAATTCAGTCCTCAGGCTGTACCAAACAGAACCACACCTACACAAAGAAAAGAATGTCAAACCCAACAAGTGGCGGGAGCACCCACTGCGAGAAACCATAAGCTTTCTATAGCTCCCACAATCTGAAAGATCAAATATTCTTCTTTCGAACCCAAATTTGTTTGAGTAAAGGTTTCCAATGTCGTGATTGCGAAGGAGAAGCTTGATAGCAATTGCTATGAACATAACCAGGTTGTAAGCAAGTAAAACATCTCAGTAAACCAGCCTTGCTATTATGATTAGAACTATGAGGCTTAAAATTACTCTTGTTCTGGTCATAATGCGGCATGTTATGCCTATGCCTGGGACTGTATTTCCAAGTATGATAATTTACGCTCCTAGGAATAGCCTCAAACCCATTGGAATAACTATACACAGTAGACACTTTTCTATGATCTAATAGATCATGCAAGTGATCTCTATCAATAATAGCTAATTCGGTTTCCCTTTTTAGCTCAGCTATCCTGATATGATCAAGTTCTATGGTTCTCTTTAGATTAGCTATATCATTATTCTTTTTACGGACTTCTTCCTGAAGACAACAATATTTAATTTTCAAGCTACGACACTCATCCTCTAAGTTTCTTAAAGCAGTTAAGAAGTTATCAGAATTTACCTTGGATGACGTGGAGTCCGAATTCACCTCAATACGAGCTGATGGTAAAGAGAACTCTTCTTCAACATCAGATGCGCTAGTATCAGTTTTAAAGGTGAACGCCATATATGCTTCTTCATTGATCTTGTCATCATCTGATCCAGATTCATAATCGCTCCAAGTAGCCACCATTCCACTTTCTTTTGGTCTTAGAGACTGAGGACAACTGGCTCTAATGTGTCCAGTATTCCCACACTTGTAACAAGTCAGAGGTTCCTTTCCCTGCATACCTGTATCAAAGTTTCTGGTCTGCTGGTATAGCAGCCTGTCTTGGGGAACATTTTTGTTGGGATCATAACAATGATTCTTAGATTTATCAGATTGACGCTTTTTGTCATTTTTATATTTCAACAGTTGATGAAAACGTCTACTGACAAGGGCAAATTCCTTGTCAAAATCACTATCAAGATCGTTCTCATACTCATAATTTACTACTTTAGATTTAAAAACCAGAGTCTTTTCGCGTTTTTCATCATCTTGATTAACTTGTTTTATAACATGCTCGTGACTAAGAAGAGAACCTATCAATTCATCTATGGACAACGTATTAAGATCTTTAGCCTCTTCGATAGCAGTACGTTTTGGAAGCCAGTCCTTAGGTAAAGACCTAAGAATTTTTCTATTCAAATCTTTAGACAGAAAACTTCTTCCAAGACCTTTTAGTTTGTTAATCAAGACCGTAAATCTGGAATACATTTCCTGAATACTCTCATTAACAATCATATTGAAACATTCATAGTCATGCATTAAGAGGTCAATTCGAGTTTCTCTTATATTGGAAGTACCTTCATAGGTGGATTCCAGTGATGTCCATATCTCCCTTGCTGTCTCGCAATGCTCGACCTTATCGGCTTCATCCGGAATCATCACAGCTTGCAAGACATGCACACCCGTTGATTTAACTGAGCATTTTTCTTTTGAACTGCAGTCCACTGGGGTTGATTTTCGACATCCATTTGAATAGGACCATTTTGGACAACCAACCACAGCTCGTCATCAATTGTCCAGAGGAACTTCTTCATCCTCTTCTTCCATGACGTGTAATTCGAGCCAGTGAAGATAGGAGGGGAATTGAGAGCTGCACGACCGAAATTCGAAGACGCCATGGATCTTTTACTTGGCAGCAGTTAGCTTCGTCAAGCTCCTGCTCTGATACCACTTGTTAAACGAATTAGAACTCAAATTAGGGATTTCGAACAAAGCAGAAGGAGCATAGAGGAAAGGGAAAGCGATGAGTGAGAGCCCTTGCTCTGATGCTCAACTTAAACAATGATCAAGAATAATAAATGGCCTGAGAATGAAAAGGCAAAAAAAAAAAAAAAAAAACTAACAGCAAATAAATGAAAGAAAATGAAATAGGCTTTCTCTACTTAAGCCCAAACAAAGTCCCAACACAAGAGAGAGAGCCACAACTTCTCTTCTTCTTCCTTCAAAGAGAAAAGTTGCAGAACAGAAACCCAGAAAACAGAGACAGACAAGCAAGCCGAAAGCGGAAGTATAAGACAAAACGGAAAGGATAAGGAACACACGATTTAACGAGGTTCCCAAACTACTGGTCACTCCTCGTCTCGGAAATATCACTTGCTACTTTCCAAGAGACTCTTTTTTTATTAAGATTTTTTCTATCAAGCAACCGATAAAAGAAGCAAAGAACAGAAGCAAGTATCAATGATAAGAAGCAACCCGGATCCCTGAACCCAGACCCGTGACACCCTCAACGCAGTAGAACCTATTCCTCTACTGGAGCCGAGCCCCTTTGTAATCCCAAGCCCTTTACCACTCCCGATTACAAGGTTGCCGATGAAGCGAGAAATCGACTCCCTTTTATAGCTTTCGAAGTAGGCGTTGTTGACAAGATAAGGATGGTACTATTGACTTGTAGAGATTCCTTTGTTTTGCTCCTTGTTTCCGCAATGGTAAGGAAATACAAATCTGATTTCCTTGATTAAGAATTTCGTGATTCTGATTTCCATAATCGTCCAACAATAATGACACAATAAATTATTTTAAATAATTAAAATCACTCTAAACTACAACTACTACTATGATATATTAAAAAAGAGAGTAAAGTATGAAAAAAATTAAGGATTAATAGGATGAATTGCCCCTTGATTATGATTTTTTCTCAAACTTGCCGCTTTTTTATGAATCTCATCAAACTTGACCCTCTACCATAACCATACTACCAATATTGTCCTTTCGTTACATATTTCATCCTATTATTTGTCAACCAAGGTCAACCACAGTTCGACCAATCCGACCATAACAAAAATGGGATGCCAAATTTCGAAAGTACCCCTATCCATCAAGGGGCTAAGATCTGGTGACTAAGGGGGGTCCCCTTAGTCACATGGCTAAGCGAATCTCCACCCTTGCACCTCATTAAAATTCAAGGGCTCCTATTAATCCAATTTAATGAAGGGTAATGTAGTAATTGCATATTTATTTTTAACTTTTAATTTTAAAAGAAATAAAAAAAACCAGCTCCGGCCGGCCGATAATTGCGCGGCCTTTCCCTGGACAATTGGGCGCCATTATTTCCTCTGGGGAATTCCCCAGAGAGAGAGAGAGAGAGAGAGAGAGAGAGAGATTTTCTGGTCGGAAATTTTTTTTCCGGCCACCATCGTCGCCGGAGAAGAATTTTCCGGCGACAACGCTTTGTGATGTTTGTTGACATATTTTGTAATGTTTGTACGCTTTGTTATTTTGTAATGTTTGTAAACTTTGTTATTTTTGTCAACCATGTTTGTAATGTTTTTTATGTCTAAAAAACACCCGGGTTGACTTTGGGAAGGAGCCCCTCTATATAGGGATGGAGCCTCCAAAGTCAACCCGGGTGTTTTTTCCCGTTCGTATGGATTGTCGGTCTAGTTTGTCATTTTTGTCCACCATGTTCGTACTGTTTGTATGTCTAAAAAACACCCGGGTTGACTTTGGGAAGGAGCCCCTCTATATAGGGATGGAGCCTCCAAAGTCAACCCGGTTGTTTTTTCTTTTTGTATGGTTTGTATTGTTTGTCGGTCTAGTTTGTATTGTTTGTACAGTTCATACGTTTGTAATGTTCGTAAATCTGTTTGTATGTTTTGTCGCTCTAGTTTGTACTGTTCGTATGTTTGTATGGTTTGTACTGATTGTAAATCTGGTTTGTATACTTCGTAATTTTCCATAATACCCAAACTACCCCTGTCATTAATTAAATAGCCCTTCCCACTTTTTAACCATTGGATTGAAGTGTCCAGATCTAAGGGCTGGGAGGGGCTTAGTCAAGTGACTAAGCACCCCCTTAGTCACTGGATCCGCTCTCATCCATCAAGCCATCTGGAAGTAGTCTCTGTTCTTTGTCCCCGACTACCGCGTCCCTTTGTCATCGCGCCACGTCCCCTGCTACGCCCCGGGCGTCGACCAGGTAGCTCCTGCCTTTCGCATTCGATTTCCAGCAACCCCCCACAATAATTACTCTTCCCGTTTTCACAAATCATTACTCTAAAATGTGAACCCTAAATCCAAATTTCTCAATTCGACATCAGTGGAACGCGGCGAAACATAAACTCTGGCGAGAGATTGGGCATCGGTCATCTCTGTCCCTCTTCCTTCCTAGCAACCCTATCCATTCTTGAAAATTTAAAGAAAGGAGAAAGATAATCTCTATTCGAAAAGCCTTGAAAACTTTCTTTTATAGTCCCAACACTTGAATACACCTTGTCGTCCGACCAATACCGTCCGTCACCTCACCGTTCACCCAACTCCAACCTACCTCACTGTTTGTAGTCATTCATTCTTCGGTGCACCGTCATTCACAAGCCTAGGATGGAGATAGTTAAACAAGAGGAGGGAAGAATGAAAACCAGTGACACACTCTGCCTCCACCTCGCCGCGCCGTTACCGGAGAGTGAACTTCTCGTTACTTCCTTTGGAAGGGGTTTTTTGGGGGAAAAGGTAGGCAGCAGATAGGGTCAGTAACCATTGGTTACTGACCTATCAGTATTAAATCCGGACCGTAGATCTAGGGATGGCATTATATATGTGTTGTCCGATTTTTGAAATTTGATTTCTTTCCTTTTTTTATTTTTTCCAGCATTTATATGTGTTGTCTTTTAATGGAGGAAAGAGAAAAAGCAGACTTTTCTCTTCCTCTCTCTTTTCTCTTTCTTCCTTTCTCTCTTCCAAAATTCTTTTTCCAGATCTAAATCTCATTTCTTCTCTTGTTCTTCATTTTTTTCTCCAACAATCGATGAATAAATTGCAGCCTCCCACTTCAAATTCGGTGAGGCTCCAAATCCTTCTACTCTCAAGCTGCTCCTTCCTTCTGTTTTTTTCTTTTATCGGCCTCAAAATCGATGATGCTCCATATTGTCAAAGAGGGGACAGATCTAGGTGAGTTGAGTTTGCATCTTTTGTGTTTTAGTATTTGTTTGTGAATTAATTCCGATCTTCTTCCTCTTTTTCTTTCTTTTTGCATTCGGTGTTCTTCATTGCAGAGGAGTAAATGACAGGAGACAGAAGACAAGTTTTTTTCCCTCTTCCTCCTTCTGTTTCCCCTTCTTTGAGAATATATATTGAGATTACCACACTATACCATATGGTAATGTATGGTAATGTGTCGATACCATATGGTATTGACACATTACCATATGGTAATGTGTATATACCACACTATACCATATGGTAATTTGTATATACCATATGGTAATGTGTCTATACCATATGGTAAAGTGTCTATACCATATGGTAAAGTGTATATACCATATGGTAATGTGTCTATACCATATGGTAAAATGTATACCATATGGTAAAGTGTGGTAACGAAATGTATTTTTATGGATATCGTGTTTTACTATGGTCGTAAAAGGGTTGTAATTAGATTTATATTATTTTTATATGGTTTTAACTTCTCATACCATGTGGTATTGTATGGTAATTACAATTAATTTGTGTTCATTCGATTAACCATGTTCTACTATGTTGGCATTGTATGGTAGTTAGATTTACCATATGTTGATATTACCACACTATACCATATGGTATTGGGTGGTAACGAAATATATATTGATATTACCACACTATACCATATGGTATTGGGTGGTAACGTAATATATATTGATGTGACAAATTTTTTCATACCATATGGTATGGTCAATACCAGTCATTACCATATGGTATAGACTGGTAATAACTGACAAATTTTTTTATGTCTGAAAAATATCAAAGTGGATATCATTTTGAAGAGCACAATTAATCTGATCTAACTGTGCAAAAAAAATTAAATTCCGACTTAAAACGAGTGAGAAATCGTCCGTTAAAGATTAAGAGAAGGAAAATTAAAGGTTGTTTGAGGAGAGAGAAGGCGCTGATGTGATCTGGTCAGCGTCAGCGCGTCAGAGACATCATTAAATAGGGGGTGCAATTTTACCTTAGTGCCCCTCCGTATTTTTTTTAAATAAAAAGAAAAAGCTGACACGTGGGGGCCAGGGGAAGGGGTTACTGATGGTTACTGAGGTATTGGTTACTGAGGGGATCCGCTCCCGAAAAGGTAGGGAGCCATTTTTCTTCTTTTACTTGGATAAAGACAAAGCAGACACGAGTTGGATCATAAACTTAGGGTTAAGAATGCCATTTCCAATCGTCAAACCGTGATTGAATGATGACTGACGGAATTAGGACGAAGTTAGTAACGGAAGGGCAAGATTGGCAGCTTGATCAAATTAGAGGGGTAAGTTTGATGTGATTCAAAATAGAGGGGTAAGTTTGAGAACAAATCATAATAGAGGGGCAATTTATACTATTAACCCAAAAATTAATTATGTTTTTCAATATGTAACACGTTTTTCAATATTTCCAGTAAAGAAAAATTAATGTATATCAACATTAATGTATGAAAAAATTAATTATACAACCAAAGGAACCTTAAACATAAAATCTTAAAACTTACAATTTTATTGACTTAGTTTGAAAAATATAGGACTTGTAAAACATCACACACATATGATGCCTTCTACGGTACCCCGGGTGAAATCTGGGGTACCACATACCTTGAGTATGAAAACGCTATCTAGACCTCAAATTAGCAGGATTTTTGGGCATGATACTATACCCTAACCCTTAATGA